GTGGTGGTTGAGATATTCCCACCTCCAGTCCTCACTGGATTCTGTGTAGTGAATGAAACTGGATGTTTTGTCACTGTCCAATTCAGTAAATTCTACAGTATTAAATAGTCATTATCATAAGGTGGAACTATGACCACTGTGGCCCTAGCATGCTGTTTGAGAAGAGTCTGTAAACACTGCACTCCTGTCTAGCGCTGCTGAAGCAATAATATGTTGTAAAATTTCATGTGTTTTCTTAAACTCTGAATGTGACGTTTTGTTCCTTTTATTAACTTGGAGCTGTTGTTCAGTTGTCTGTTGCTTTGCTAATTTGTTTAGTAAAAAAAACCAAAACTGAAGCCTTGAAGCTGTACAGTAATAATCAAGAATATGTAACTTAGCGTAGCAACGCTATTCTGAGTTTCCAGAAACATGGTTGCTGATTTAAGTGTACAAAAAAGGTCTTAGCTGGTTTCTTGCCTGCTGTTTTTTGCCAGGCAGATAAAGACCAGTGTATGACACACAAGAAAATGACATTCATTTTTGCTACTTCTACATTTACTGTTTTTCTCTGACATGGATGAAAGTTTTTCAGCTGTGCCCTTTCTCTTCTTTAAAATAAAAATGAGAAGAGGTAATAAAAATTTTTTGAAGGAAGTTCTTAGGGACACAGTTACTTTTTTTCTAGAAAAAGTGATGTTGAGAAGATAATAATCTTGGCATCATAGGTGCAATTGCACCTGGGCCAGCATTGCAGGCAATAAAAATATATCCTCTGCAAGCCATAGAATTAACCCATTAATAGCAGCTGTGTTTCTGTGGTCTGCAGTCCATTCTACCTGAATTGCTTTTTAAAAAAAAGACAGTTGAATTTAGACAATCTCTTTGAGAAGTTTAGGACTGTGCCTGCAGATATAGAGGCACAGACAGTTTCCACACCCGTGATTTAACTGTGCTGAACCTGTGATTTCCTCAGCCTCCTCATTTCGAGTCACGGTTGTGTTCCACAGAAAATTAGTATGTAAGGTTAAACGGGTGGCAGTGCTTTCATGTAAAGTACATACAAACATTTTCTTTGTGTATGAGAGTGATAATTATCAGAAGCAACTTGCATCTCACAATCAGTAGGCTTATTTTTTCAGTTAAAGGGTGATGCAGACTGTACTTTGAGAGCAGGAGGGGAAGAAAGCTACTGATGGTGAGCAAAATACATGATAGCTTTTAACAGGAGAGGAATGAAGTATGCTATCCTAGTTTTCAGGTTTTCAAAAGAAGTAATGATTGATTTTGTTTTAGATAGTTCTCAGAAGTAATTTTTTTAATAGAACTTTCATTGTAGTGTTTCTTTAGCTTGGAGTGGGGAGAGCAAGCTAGCTTATTTGTGATCTGTAACCTTGGTACATGATATCATATCATACGATTCTGTGAGCATATCTGGATATACTGTGGAATGCAAAAGGCACACTAATCATCAGATTATTTGAGAAGGCTGTAGCTTGCAGCAGTCCTTTATGGGCAGTGTTGTGTTTCTAAACTGGATGAAACAGATTAATTCAGAATCTCACGGTAAATCTCTGATAGTGTTCTAAATAGTATTTTGAAAACTAGTAGGCTTTTACCTTTAGTATGGGAAGCAGCAAAAACTTTGCTGAAGGCTTTAACCTGAATTGAAAACATGAAAAAAACCTGTCTTTTGAGTGTCAGTTGAGTTATTGAATGTCTTTGCAGATACGACAGGTAAATAACCATTTCCATTGCATTTTCAAGGTGACATTTGTGTTAGGATACTTGAGCAGAAGTAACAGAAGTAGTTTGAATATATATGATGGTGGTGGTCATAGTGGGGTTCTTATGTCTTTGGCAGCTGTATGTGCTTTCAGAGTGGTGAGAAACCTTACAGCTGTAAGGGTCGCAGACTATTTTAAAAGAAATATACTGATGCACAATTTGAAAAAGATAGTTCTTCTAAAAGTTGCTTCCAGAAAGAATGGGGAGGACTTAAGGACTGTCCTGGGTAATGGCTTTCCTAAACAAACACACGTTGTCTCAGTAATCTTGGTTTTCTTTTGGAAAAACAGTATATTCTATTTGGAGTTGGTTAAACCAACATAGGTGACTGCACTTATTACAACTCTTATAGCTAAAATGTCAAATATACTCAAGGATTGAAAATTGAAATATTAATAAATTTTACTTAAATGGACAAAAGTGAGATAGTTAATATAGTGGAATTACTAATCTTAATTCAGTCAAAGATGGTGGTATAATATACCCTTTATTGCCCCGTTTTCCTCTTTTGTTAGTTCACAGGTTTTCTTTATTGGGCCCCTCAGTTCAAGGAAGACAGGGAACTGCTTGAAAGAGTCCAGCATACAGCCACAAAGATGATGAAGGGAGTGGAACATCTCCCTTATGAGGAAAGACTGAGGGAGCTGGGTCTCTTTAGCTTGGAGGAGACCGAGGGGCGACCTCATCAATGTTTATAAATACATTAAAGGCGAGTGTCAGGAGGACGGACCCAGGCTTTTTTCAGTGTTATTCAGTGATGGGACAAGGGGCAATGGGTGCAAACTGGAACATAGAAGGTTCCACGTAAATGTCAGAAAAAACTTCTTTACTGTGAGAGTGACAGAGCACTGGAACAGGCTGCCCAGGGAGGTGGTGGAGTCTCCTTCACTGGAGACATTCAAAACCCGCCTGGACGCGTTCCTGTGTGATGTGCTCTGGGTGATCCTGCTCTGGCAGGGGGGTTGGACTGGATGGTCTTTTGAGGTCCCTTCCAACCCCTAAGATTCTGTGATTGACATCACTTATGCAACCTGTTCCTCAGCAATATATTTACAGTGTCATATTGTAAAACAAAATACCTTGTTAATCCATGAATACATGGAACCTTCAATACTGTTGGTGCTGAACTTTACCAATGTTGGCTAAACTTTACCAATTATGTATTTTAGGGGTTTTAAAAAAACATTTAGTAAGTGGCTACTAACTGATCAATACAAATTAAATACCCATAAATACTGGAACAGTACATCCATTTTTCTCCCTCTGCTACTGCTGTCCAGCTTTCTACATGTTAATCTTTGTGTGCTAAAGCTTTCTTGCTCTAACTTCCGTGTGTGGTGACAGTTTAAAAATATCTAATGGGCATTTGGTTTATATATATAGAATTAAAATACAAATAGTCTACTCCTGAATATTTGGTCTATGTATTGTAGTTTGTTTTTTCCAGTAAGTATTTATGAATGGTGTTCCTACTAAGCTGCTAATCTAGGAATAACTTTAAAATATTGAATAAATGAAGTAAGTTGAAGTGAGATTTAACTGTAATGTAAGCAAGTGGTACATCCCCACTTGCTGAATAACATTACTTCAAAAAAAAAAGAGTAACTTTAACATAACAGCTGAAAAAACATATATAACTTCAAGTGCTCAGATATCAAGGTGCTGGTACTAATTTAGTGCTATTTCCAGTTCAAAACAGAAGGATTTGGAACAATGTTTAAAATAAATAAAAATTTAGGGTGGGAAATCTGGAGTGTGCACTGGGAAAATGCACACTCAGCAGTATTTATTCTGGTTACTTCCAAATATTTAATTCTTACTTTGGTTACCCACTTGTATTGAATTGTTCAAGTTTATACATAAGGTACAATCCTGTTACATCGGGCAGCAGGAGATGATAGTAGTTTGACAAAAGCAGATTCTCTTCAGGTGAGCAAGCCTGAAGGAGAAGATAAAGAAAAAAAAATGCAGTTCATGAACATGTTTCAAATATGGTGGTAATTTTTTACCAAACAGTAGCAAACTTGGCAAAAAGTGCAGCTTCCTGTACTCTAGAAGTATGCATAGTGTAAGGCCCAGAGCCAAGTAGCATTCACGGGTGCAAAGTCAGGGTGGTAACTATTAGGGGCAGCCCATTTGTTGTCCGTTTTTCCTGCCTTGTATCACAACTGTTGTTTTGCCTTCTTGCCCTTGAATGGGGAGGTCTTGTTTGCTGGGTATAATCAGCTAAAGGCCTCTGCTGCCTTAAAAGGCATTTGATCAGTCTTGTGTGGGGGGAGAAAACAGGCTGTTCTCCACAGAGAACAATAGTTAAAGAAAAAATCCAAAAGGTGTATCCTAGACTGGATTCATGCTACAGCCTCAATTCAGTTTTAAAATTAAATATGAGACTTCCTTTTATTTTAGGAATATAAATTTAAAAAAAAACCCAGTTCTAACATTTTGCTAAGTTTTATCAGTGAGCTAATGATTCCCCTCACCCCTGCACCATTGAGCATCCTCTTGTGAATCTGTACAAATAATGCTCCTTTGTATCAGTTCTGGATACAAGTTGGATAAAATTCTATTTTACCTGTGATGCCCTGACTGCTGGGTCACCTTTCAAAGATTTTGGAGAGAAGGCTGTAGTTCTATCAAATTCTGTACTGGTGGAATTATTTGTACATGTGTCATTAAAAACAACGAAACAGTGTGCTATGAGAGCCTGCACAGTTATAAGCATACCAAATTTAATGTTTTAAACTAAATTTAAACATAAATCTTAATTGTTAGGTGCTCACTACCTTCAGAATGCTGTATGTGAGGGCTGAAAGCATGCAGTTCCCAAGTTTTGCATGTAAACCTACTTTACTAATAATGCAGATACTGTAGTTTCATGGAGTGAAAGCAGTGATGCCATTACTCTCTGTAATTCTTTTTAATCAGCTGTTAGAGAGTTTTTGATGATTTTGATTGTGTTTTGGTTCCATTTGCCTCCTCCCTTTTTGGTATGTTGAGCTAAAGGCAGCGGTGTAATTAAAGCCTGTATACTAAAGAACAGCTTTAAAAGGGAAGGCTTAATTTGAACAAAAATTCTAGGAGTATGATAGCCTTTTTGCCATAAAGGTGTATTAAGGCTCTTATGAACTTGCTGTGGTGTGTTTTATTTTATTTTAAGGATTATAAAATAGATGTGTTTATATACACAACACCTACGTATTTTGATAGTATTTCTCGTTTTATATTTTGTTCAGCATTTACAGCCGAACAATACCAGCAACATCAACAGCAACTGGCACTAATGCAGAAACAGCAGCTTGCACAAATTCATCAACAGCAAGCAAATAGTAATTCCTCTGCCAACACGTCACAGGTGAGGGATTTGTCTGTGCTATGATTTATCCCTCATTGTTTCCCACCAGGGTTCATCTCTAATTGTCAACTGTTGCCATAGAACCTTGAAACTAACCAACAGGAAAGTGGCTTTCGCCTGAATCTACATCATAGCCATTCTGTAAAGTGTTTAGAAGGGACACTGCAGGTGAGTGTGGCAGGCATTGCCTCTGCTCCCTCTTAACAAAAAAAAAGATGGGTCAGTCAATTATTGAAATTTTCAAAGCCTTAGAAATATGAATTGCAGAAATCTCCAGCCATGTCCTTATCCTCTTGATAGTGGGGGAATTTTACAGCAGGATTTTTAGTTAATGACTAAATCAAACTCCTAAAAATGCCCTCCATACGTCTGTGGAAGTGTCTTAATATTCATAAACATATAGTGATTTCAGTGGTGACAGGCATAAAAAAGGTTCAGAAGTTGTTTGCAATCTGAATCTCTGAGTCTCTGAACTGGGTTTGGAATATCATGAAAATAAGTTGACCTGTGAAACAGTATTGTTCCATAGAACTTCGGAAATAAGGTTTTTTTCTGTTTTAAATAGTTGTGGGGATTTTCTTCTCTGTTGTTACAATGGAACTAAAAGTGCATGGGAAATAATCATGGTTCAGATTTTAACTAGTTGTATGAAATGCTGACAGTTTGGTCTGAGAGAATGACTGGGCCACAGTTATGATTGACATGTATTGATTTTTGTTTTACTAGTTTGCGTGTAGCTTTAAAACGGGGAGAGTACTAACTTCTGGAAGGCTCAATCACATATATTTACCACCACTGGTCTTTTTAGGGTTTTGTTTCCAAGACACTGGATTCTGTTAGTGCTCAATTTGCTGCTTCAGCTTTGGTTACATCGGAACAACTTATGGGATTCAAAATGAAGGATGATGTGGTGCTTGGAATTGGGGTGAATGGCATTCTTCAAGCCTCAGGTATGCAGCTGTTTGACAGAATTTGATCGTGTCTTGATATTTACAGTGGAGATGTGTCTGTCTGGAGTATTTTCCGAAAAATGAGCTTACTATGTTACGTCTCTTTTGCAGGAGTGTACAAGGGCTTACACCTCAGTAGTACTACACCTACAGCACTTGTCCATACAAGTTCATCATCAACAGCAGGTTCAGCCTTGTTACAGCCTTCAAATATAACGCAGACTTCAAGTTCCCACAGTGCACTGAGT